ATCAAAATCCTTAAATTAATCACATGTTTTGCCATTTAAGATAATAGTCAGAGGTTCTTAGTCAAGAAGCGAATATATCTTTGGGGGCCAGTTTTTCTGCCTCTCACAATCAGTGAATGCCAGAATGAGCATCAATGCCAGGGTCTGTCTGATTCTGAAGCCTCTAATGGCCACTCGTCCTTCGGAAGAACAGGCCTTATGCCTCTCCTTTCTGGAGCGCTCTTTCTGGGCTGCAGTGGGAGCGGGTGTTAGTTACAGAGTGAAGCTAGCTTCAAATGATCTGGCCCTCTTACCCAGCAGTTCCACTTCTGAAAATGCACCCTACACAAACGGTCATGTGGTTGCTAAGACTGGCAGATATGCTCATTCTTTGTAGTAACAAAAACTACTGGAATCATCCAACCGCGGAGGACTGGTTAAATCAAGTATGGTATCTCTTAAATGGAAGAGTTAAGAAACTGTTAAAAATAATGAAGTAGATAATTACACAGTGATATGAGAAGATGTCCATGACGCATTATTAAAAGAACAAATTACCCATTTTTATTAAAATATGATGTGTGCACATGTGTATGGCTATTAAAAATTAAGTAATTAAATTAAAATTCAGTTCCTCAACCATGAAAACCACTTTTCGAGGGCTCAGTAGCCACATATGGCTCATGGCTACCATATTGGACAACCCAGATGGAGCATGTGACTGCCATCTCAGAAAGTTCCTAGCAGAGAGTGTCCCTACCTTGTTAAGTGGCCGAGGGAGGCCTTTCATTTTGTATGTTATAGACTTCTGTGAAAGTTTACATTTCTTTATAATAAATAAGCATACCAGAAAAATAGAAGCACGTGTGATTTCTAAGGTAACATTCTATTTTTTAAGCAGGTGGTCGTTTATTATTATTTAAGATATACGTGTTTGTATGTATATATAAACTCCTTTTTAAGTATGTGTCATATTGAAAATATTTTAAAATATATTGGGAGAAAAAGAGAGCTGCCCGGCAGGGCACACATGGGCCACATGGCAGGCCAGGTTGAGGTTTCTGCCGAGTCTGGTTCCCTGACCCAAAGCTGTCCAGCTTTGGCCACTTCACTTAGCCTCTTTGAGCCTCGGTTTTCTCACCTGACAGAATTCCTGCTTGACCTGCCTTATAGGGTTAGAGTGCAATTTAGAAGTGCGATGATGTGTAGGAAAACTCTGAAACCGAGGAACGTGCTGCACGGAGGTCAAGGGTCCTAAATGACATTGCAAGTTACCAAAGGTCTAAGGAGGCGAGGCCCCAATGCACTGTGATCACCACTGGGACTAGAGACCTTGCCTGCTCCCAACTATTTTCTGGGTGTTGCTGAGGTCACCATAAGCAGGAGCAAGGGTTGCTGTATTCTTACCACTGTCCTTGCTTGGAGATTTAGAAATAACTAGTTATTTATTTAACAAGCACTGAGGTAGCATTTGCTGTTGCCATGCACTGTTTTAAGTGCTGTACAAATATGTACTCATGTCATCCTCACGCAGCCCTGAGGTCGTCATTGTAGGCATGCTCATTTCATGCAGAAGGAACTCGAGCCTCAGGGAGGTCGAGGAACTCAGCTTCGGTCACACGGCTAGTGAGGAGTGGGGTGTCTAAGGCAGGCCATGCTTTCTCCTTTCATCCTGCTCCTTTCGTTCCCTTCGAATGTGGCCAGAGAGCTCCTTATGTCAGTTTTTCTATCTCAGGGGCATGAGATTTAAATTTTGAAGTATCATGACCGGATGTTCCTGACTAACTTGATAGGTTCGATCCTAATTTTCTGAGTTTGGTAGCATGGTTAAATGAGAATGGGCTGTAGAATAAGGCCAACCGGGCACCTGTCAGTGATTTGCCACTTACTAGCTGTTTGACTTCTGGCAGGTTACTTAACCTCTCTGATCTTCCAATAGGGTTTGTGAGGGTTGAGTAAGTTTACCTACTGTGGCAGGCAGGCAGTCAATATCTCATTAGTTGCTATCTTTTCCCTCACTTTTATTTTAAGCAGTGAGCTCAGGCTTGAGGATACAGAGGTGAGTAAGTCTCTATGCCTGTTTTAAAGTTTACAGAATGACTTAGGTGGGGGCTGGAGACCTTTCTAGATCAGGAGTCAGGGAACCTGAATTCTAGCCCGTACTGGCTCTCTCCTACCTCGGTGACAAGTTTCTCTGCTCCTCTGGGCTTCACTTTTGTCGCCTGTCAATGGAGGCCTGGGTTGCAACACTCCAAGGCCCTATCCTTCTTGTTGTTTTCCGATTAGTCATATTTAGGTCAGGACAAGCCCGTGCCTGAGGGGCCAGCGCTGTAGCAGGTGGATGTGTCAGTGTTTCCCTTTAGGCCACTCTTGTCAATGCTGTGGCAGCTTCCTCTCTGTGCTGCTCTGTGGAGGCCTCCTGACTCTGTGCAGAAGTTGGAACGCTGGAAACGAAGATGGCTTTGGATTGCCTCCAGACTGTCAGGATTTGAGGGTGGCAGATTTTGCAGGTGAAAAATGAGTCAGAGGCAGCTCCTTGTTGTGTGTGTTCCTCCGCAGCCAATGCGAGGCTGCGGGAGTGGTAGTTATCATCTTTTTGGCTGAAAATTATTCTTACGTGAATGGGGCTGGATATGCACATGGCTTGGAGTGGGAGGCCTGGGGTGCGCTGAGAAGTGGGGGGAGATGGGAGCCAGTCCCGTGATCCTCAGTGTCGCACAGACTCCTGGAGAAGTGGTTGTTTTGTCAGGGAGCCGGAAGGTAAACACCTGGAATGATCCATTCAGCTCACCTTTCTGCTTTCCGGTACAAATGCCACTGAGTGGGAGGCAGCTCCATCACCTCAAGTTTAAGAACCTCATAAAAGGAGTTAATATCCTGTAATTACACAGATGAATTGCACTTAGCAGGCGCATTTAATGAAGGGCAGTGAAATCGATCCTCTCTTAATAGTGACCTTTACCAGGCGAATTGAATCCCAAAGCCAGCCAGTTTAAGGATTCTGACGGGGCTTCCGTGGTTTTATTACTTCTTTGCCTCATCGATCGATTTGCATAGATCTTTCCAAATTCCAGTGGCACTGTGGAGTCTGAGACCCTCTGAAGTTGAGCGGGCATGTTATGACTTCCCCAGCATTCATGGATAAATTTTCGTCACTGTTGACTCATTCTGAGAATGGGGGAAGGGACAGAAGACTAAAAGAAAATGGTACAAAACTCTGATTTCCTTTAAAATTTTTTTCAGAGGTGTAGGACACGCCATTCTTTTTTTGGCTCTTGGTCTTAGAAGTTCATTTTCACTGTGCCCATTGCCTACAGACAGCTGCTAGCACCTCCCGTGCCCCCTGCGTGGATGGCCTCTGTGCCTGTCTTACAGCCTCAGCTCCTCCTTCTTCAAATGCTACAACTGGGGTTGCAAAACCTACTCCCCCTCTCATCGTGAAGATGGACGTTTATGGCTGGAGTATCTCTTTTTCTTTCAGCGTTGGTTTTTGGGACATAGCAGAATTAGCTGGTGAGAGAGGTGGCAGTGAGAATACTTCGGGGCTGACCCGTAAATCCTGGAGAAAGAAGCGACTGTAACCTCGGTGGTGTTTCCTTTTGTTCTTCACTCTTACCGGCTCCAAAAGTCACTTTAAATCAGTGACTGAAACTTTAGGTTCACTAAAGAATAAGAGACTGAAATGGCAGGGCCAGAGGTGCCGAGGAAAGAATGCAATCAGTATGCATAGAAATAGGCATCACCTGACCAGGGTGGGGGTGCGGTCATCTGTTGCTCTTCTGCTGAGCATGCCACACAGTTGTGTTTCTTGTCTTATCAGTCCTGTGAAGTTGGCAGTGCTGACAGACAGCTGAGGACTCTTAGACTCAGTGTGCCCAAAGTCTCATAACTTGGGAGTGGCCTCGTTAAGACTCAACCAAGGTTCACTCCAAAGCTATTGCTATTAACCAGGAAGCCATAAAGTCTCCCAGGAACTGCTCATAGGACAGTATACTTGAACCCAACCCTGCAGGGTAAGTCAGATTTAAATAAGGGGAGAGGAAAAGGAAGGGAATTCTGGGTAAGAGGAACAGTAGATACAATCAAAAAGCCTGAGAGAGGGAAAAAGAGTGATGTGGAACAGTGTCTGCTGGTCCTAAGCTCCACAGGGCAGGGACCACATTCTCTAGGGCTGCCATTATATATCCCCAATGCCTGAGTGAGTGCCTGGTACATAGTAGGTGCTCAGTAAATATTTATCGTGTGAATGAATATACAACAGACAGTTGTCTTCATAGACCATGAACCTCTTAAGGGCAGGGACTAGGTCTTAGAAATCTTTGGATGCCATGTAGCTTCCAGGAGTTAATAAATAGTAAAACAATAAATCTTCTGAGGGAATGAATGAGTGAATGGCATGACAGGTAAGTGATGGTGGGGAGCTGTGTCTGCGTGAAGAGGCGCTGATACTTTTGGGAAATATGGGCAATATGCATGGGCTGGTGTGGGAAGCGCGTATTGTGGAAAGTCTTCAGTGTCAGGAATAGGTGCTGTTGGGTTGTCCATGAGGCTTTTTTT